TGCGTGTGTGTGTGTGTGTTTATTAATTTTTTTATGTTTGAGGGGTGGGAGTGTGTCTCACCATTTCTTTCTCAGTGATGGGATGAAGGCCACCCTAATTAGGCACCTGTTTCACCAACTCAGTTGTGTTATTGCCATCAGACAGACAATACAGAACCCCACTGATAAAAACAAATAAACATTTATAACAAATATTTATATGGCCCAGGTAAAATAAACTACAAGCAGACACTGCACAGAAAATTGACATTCTGCTCTCTGATTGGTTCAGCTAAAAATCCGCCAGCGAAACCCTTGTCTATGGGAGAAGTCCCAGACGGAGCAGAGAAGGGAAACTAGAATTGAGCGGAGCTGCATAGGAAGGCAAGGGCCAGGCTAAATTGGAATATTTTCAACCACATTTCTGTAATCCTCAGGGGTACAAACTATTTTTTACTTAACACTAAATTCATCACRTTTTAATAAATCCCCTTTATCATATATCAAATGAATAATGGCCCAAATTTGTTTTTCCATGATCCATCCTTCCATGAATATTGATTTTCTTCTTTTGCGGTCTGTATTTTAATTCCAGACGTCACTTGCAGCAATGAATTGTGGGTAATACACTTCGCCGAAGTCCGCAATAATGCAGACTTCACTGAAGGGTGGAAATAGTACCCAAAATGGGCGGGGCRAAGGGSGGATGTGGAGAATGTTGGACACACTACGCACTCAAACCCTTCAACATGAACACGCATTTGAAGTGCACAAGGGGGAACGAGGGTGGGAGTGTGAGTATTGGGACAGGGCCTGACACTTCGCTTAAAGTAAGACTGAGAGGCTTGATAACTGACTTTTACTCTCAGCTTTTAACTAAGATTTTTTTTACACTTAAGTCCACTCTTAACAGCATTCTTAAGAGTAATTCTGAGAAGTTTGATAAATATGGGCCCTGGTTTAGACAATCTAAAAAAACTAAAACTACTTGTTTATTGACCAAACAATGCTGAATTTAAAATGGTAGAGATGATAAAATAATTTATAGAGGTTAAAAGTACTAGAAAAAATTGATATGTAGCATTGAGCTATCATAATGTTTTATGTTTTTGTACATAAAAAGAAGGAAAAACAGAGATTTTTTTGCAAAACAAATATTCAGACAAGTTATTCTTCCTTCTCTACAATATACCAAAGCCAAATTTATACATGTGAAGAACAAACAAACAAACAAACTGACGGACCCCATTATTGCACTTCATAAATATTTTATTAATTTTAATATTATATGGACTTCATTAAGCTAGTTTAATAAAAACAAAACAAAAAGACCCACTAATAGACATTTTACTTTAAAGGTAATTTGAAATGTTAACAATTCTACAAATGTGTGCATGTACAGTGTGAAAATATATAAAGAAAAACATTCTTTCAGCTGCTCCAGCTGAGTTTGAACCCTGATGGTAAGGTGGAGTACTGGGCTTGGAAAACGATGTGAACCTCGTGGGAGGAGGAGGTAAATGGAGCGATGCTGGTTTCCTAAACAAATAACAAAAACAGGTTACAGTATATTCAAACATTCAATCTGATCAGTTAATGTTGATGAGGAAAAACTAACGAGTATTTCACACAAAATTATAATGTCTACAGACAACCCCAAACTGTAAGACATTTGTATGGGGAAAAAAGTGATTCTTCAACAATTACATGTTTTTTTTAATACTTCACACCTAATAACAATGTGTAAGTATTCTGCATAATAAGATTTCACAAATGTGAACATATGGGAGAGTTTAACCCAATTCTGCTTTTTTTTCCTCCCCTTTTTTCTGTGGATCAGTTTAGTATTTTGACACATGAAAGCTTCTAGCACAGAACGTGTAACATGTTGTATTAGAAATTTTACTTTGCGTTTTACAAAAGGTGCATTCTCTAAAGGTAGCATCTCTTTGGGACACGACCAGTGTCATGAGGTTCATGTGGTAGTCTCGAGAAGGACTCGTGACATTCACAGTTCTCAGCATGTCGTCTTGTTGCTTGAGTTTTGAATGTGTTCAACAAATTCTGAAACAAATATGATCTTAAAATAGTCGCTGAGTTGTCCCAGATGTTTTCAACACATGTTGTGAATTGTGTTGAGGATGTCTCCGACCAATCCTAAGAGCTACAGTGTAAAACACGTGACTCTAAAACTCTGCCTTGGCCACTTTATCACTGGTTTCTTAAACAGCACAACTCTGACTATATTGTTTTTCTGGTCACTTTTATCAWTGGATCTAACTGCACTACCCCAAATATATTGTCTGCTCCGAATACTGCATTGGTGTACATATGTTTTATATATTTTTCCTTTATTCTTTGTTTTTTCTTCTTCTGTTATATTTGATAACTACTGCACCTTTACACCGAAGCAAACTCATAGTCTGTGAATCCTGTTCATTGACAATGGGAATAAAACTGATTCTGATATAAAGTTTGACACCTTTACTTTAGCTTTCTGATGAAAAACAAATCCAAGTCTTTGTGAGGTTCTGGGGTTTTTGCTTATAAAGTTTTRACATGATTAAGGTTTTAGCTAATTTCACCTTTTTGTGTTCATTGCAGCTATTTTCTGCTTAATTCAGCAAACATGCTCTTTTTATCTGCTAATTTTAGTGTTTTTTCCTTCATTTTTTNAATTTTAGTGTTTTTTCCTTCATTTTTTTGGTTTATAAAGTTATTTTCAGCTATTTTTCTGCTATTTTCAGCTATTTTTAATTCATACTGCCTTTTCTTAGGAAATGTTGTTTCTCTAGTTTATTCTGTTTTTTTTCCTTTCTGCATTTTGTTTTAATGTGGATTTAATCCCTGTATCAGTTTAGTTCTCCCCAGTGTTTTTCCTCCAGCTTCTTCTTCTTCAAATTTTAAGGCGGTTGGCAACCAACTTAAAGGAGCGTTACTGCCACCTACTGTTCCGGAGGATGGGTCAAAGTAGCTACGTCCTTACACGAATCTTAAAAAAAAACTAAAAACTATATCCTGCAGTAAAGCCCTTTCTCTCAAAAAAATCAAGGCCCTTACTTGAGCTCTACTACCACAACCCATTTTCCTCCGGCTCCTCCCACACCTGATCATTGTTGTCCCATCCCCAGGTGTGTCTCGTTTCCTTCGTTAGTGCTTCTCTTATATTCTGTGTCTTGTCTTCTCCTCCCTGTTGTAAGGCCTGGTTTGTATCCTTGTGTTTTTACCAATCAGTGTCCTTTTATTGTAATAAACCAGTTTTCATTTTCAACCTGCATGTTTTAAATTTTTGCCTTCTCCCTGGGTTTTATGTGACACAAGCCTGATAGTCTTAAAACCACCCTTAGGCTAAACAATGGTTATTAAACTCATCCATATCTGCTTGTCTTCATTGCTAAAGTGTGTTCCAGTAGATAAAATCATAAAGGCAGCTGCCAGGCCACAYGCACACAGAAAAAGCCGAGACTGGCTCTTCAAAACGAAGCCGTAAAGCTTGCTGGTCAGAAACAGTCAAAACAAACAACTGAGAATTCATCTATTTTCTTGTAATTATGAGTCTAGTCTCCAACTATAGCCTACTGAGATACGAATTTTAAAGGTCATATCAACTAATCCATGCCATTTAACCCACTCTCATGCCGAAAATAATCCAATATATATGATATAGTGTAATTATTTTAATGGTTTCACTATTTCTGAGATGATAAAAGGGTCTTATTTACATGTCTAGTTATAAAACATACTGAAACATTTTTAAAGCAAGCGTTTCTTCAAAAATGAATCTAATTCCACATGTTCCATACCATTCCACAGTAAGGTCCGACAGGTGGTAAAGAGTCGTCTCGGCCATCATACAACTTTAAGAAGTTGCTTTGACAATCTCCTGGGTCATCGATGCTAATCTGATCAAAGGTGATGGTCACCACACGGCCCCTTGGCGCCTTAATGTCCCATACACAGTTAGTATTGTTGGGATATGTTCCTGGRTAGTTGGGACTGGAGAACGAGCCACGGTCTCCATGAAGGATGCCGCCACAACCTGAAGCACAAGGTAGAAAATAAAAAAACAAAACTTACACACAGTTCTACTCTCGTTAAAATCATTTACATGTCTTTGAACAGATATGCCATCGACTGATATTTATCTGTGTGTATTTCTCATTAGGAGAACTGGGTTAATTTAATATTAATATCAGGGTTCAACRTGGTTTTACCATCTGTAGTGACAAGTTAAAAACCCACTTTGACTCAGTGGCATTTGATTCAAACATTGAGTTACAAATTATTTTGTTGTCTATACTTTTATTTCAATTTTACATTACATTTTCTTTTGGGRTTTTTGTTATTCTTTTAGTATTCTTTGTATTGCCATTTTTGCTGTACAGGACTTTGGTGCAGTTATGGTGTTGATATTGGCATTGTTACTTATGAAAGTTATCATCCTGAATTTCCCCACGCGAGACAATAAAGGCTGTTTCTATTCTATTCTATTCTATTCTATTCTATTCTATTCTATTCTATTCTATTCTATTCTATTC